GGGGAGTGATGGAGGGATGGGGAAAGACGGAGGGATGGGGACAGACGGCCATGGACAGAGACACGAGGATGGACAGAGGCACCTCAGGAGATGCCGCTCACCCCGCGTCCCCCTCACAGGCGCCTTCCTGATCCACATGGCCAGCTCCTGCCACCTGGCAGCCAACGGCTCCACCCTGGATTTTGGCTTCTCCATCGTCTTCAACAAGAACCAGCTGGTCTGCTACGACCCTGATGACCGGCTCTTCGTCCCCTGCGACTTTGGGCTGCTCCACCCGTACGCCACCAGCCTTGCTGCCATCCTCAACAATGGCACCGCCTGGCTGGAGCGCGTCGAAGCCCGGCAGCGGGCGTGCAGTGACCTGGCCACCCAGTTCTGGGCCTCCTCGGCGCAGCGGCAGAGTGAGCCCTGCGGCGCACAGGGGCTTTGCACGGGGACGGGGCGTAGGGTGTGTTGGGGGTGTTGCACAGGGTGGGTGTTGCATGAGGAGGTTGCATGGGGGCGATGCATGGGGATGTTGCATTGCATGTGCACGGGGATGTTGCACAGAGCATTGCACGGGGATGTTGCAAGGAGCATTGCACAGGGACGTTGCACGGAGCATTGCACAGGGACATTGCAGAGTATGTTGCATTGCACAGAGATGTTGCGCAGACCATTACATGGGGCTCTGCAAACAGATGTTGCATTGCACTTTCCACAGAGATGTTGCACAGAGCATTGCACAAGGACGTTGCATTGCATGTTGCACGGGGATGTTGCGCGGAGCTTTGCACAGGGCTTTGCAAAGGGATGTTGCATTGCACATTGCATGGGGATGTTGCACGGAGCGTTGCACGGGGCTTTGCAAAGGGATGTTGCATTGCACGTTGCACGGAGCATTGCACAGGGCTTTGCAAAGGGATGTTGCATTGCACGTTGCACGGAGCATTGCACAGGGCTTTGCAAAGGGATGTTGCATTGCACGTTGCACGGAGCATTGCACAGGGCTTTGCAAAGGGATGTTGCATTGCACGTTGCACGGAGCATTGCACAGGGCTTTGCAAAGGGATGTTGCATTGCATGTGCATGGAGAATTGCACAGGGCTTTGCAAAGGGATGTTGCACTGCATGTGCACGGGGATGTTGCACAGAGCATTGCACAGGGACATTGCAGAGTATGTTGCATTGCACAGAGATGTTGCACAGACCATTACATGGGGCTTTGCAAACAGATGTTGCATTGCACGTTGCACAGAGATGTTGCACAGAGTATTGCACGGGAACATTGCATTGCACGTTGCACGGAGCATTGCACAGGGCTTTGCAAAGGGATGTTGCATTGCACGTGGCATGGGGACATCGCACAGAGCATTGCACAAGGACGTTGCATTGCATGTTGCACGG